GACATGAAGGATTTAGGCGAAGCAAATGTGATCTTAGGGATTAAAATAATAAGAAAAGATGGATGCATATTGCTGAATCAATCTCATTATATTGAAAATATCCTTAAAAGATATGGTCATATGGATCATAAACTCGCATCAACTTCGATAGATCCTAGTATTAAGTTAATGAAAAATACTGGTAGATCTTATGACCAACTACAATATGCAAGTGTGATTGGAAGTCTTATGTATGCTATGCACTGCACAAGACTAGATATTGCATATGCAGTTGGCATATTGTGTCGATTCACTAGCAATCTAGGAAAAGAACATTGGAATGCGGTTTCAAGAATCCTAAGATACTTGAAAGGAACTATTGATTATGGATTACATTATCGTGGATTTCCCGCTGTACTTGAAGGATACAGCGATGCAAGTTGGAACAACATAGAATCGAATTCTAAATCCACAACAGGTTGGATTTTTACTTTAGGAGGTGCAACTGTTTCTTGGTGTTCTAAGAAACAAACATGTGTCTCAGATTCGACTATGTTGGCAGAATTTATTGCTTTGACTGATGCAAGTAAAGAAGCTGAATGGCTAAGAAATTTGCTAAATAGATATCCCATTGTGGGAGAAACCATCTCCAACTGTGATGATCTATTGTGATAGTAAAGCTACTTTGTATTCGGTAGCAAACAAGACTTACAATGGTAAGCAATGATATTTCAGTATTAGACATCAGTCTCTTCGAGGATTACTTGAGCAAGGAGTAATCACGGTTGAATATGTAGAGTCGAAGAATAGCCTAGCAGATCCTTTGACAAAAGGATTGGCTAGAGAGATGATTGCGAAAACATCGAAAGGAATGGGATTTGAGATCTACGTAACTTCAGTTAGCTTTAATGGGAACCCTACTTATGTTTTGAAATATAAACAAAGTTCAAAGGGTACAAACAAGTTAAAGTCTAACTAAGACGAGACACTAGAGTATTAGTTCAAACCCATTCATAAAATCTCTAGTGTATGTATTCTGCATAGTTGAGGATGGATTTAATTCCTTAATAAGTTCTATTGAGAGAGAAAGTAACTCGCAGAATTACTTTATAAAGAACTTACCGATGTGAGTGAGAAAGTCAGGCCGTTTTCTATGAGATTTAGGCCGTCTCTAGAGCACTCACGAAATTCGGGATATACACAAGGCCATTAATACATTGGTATAAAAGATACACTCCTTTTTATCGGAATAATATGTGTAATGACTCCGGTTAGTCATGATAGGGTCCTTGGTTCAAGATTCGTTCACCATAGCACCTTGACAAAACTTTGAGTTGTTTACACTAAGTGAAAGTTCAAAGTCAAAAGCTACTTTCATTTATGTACAATTTCCTACGATGATGCCTTTTGTGTGTGTTTGCATGAACTACGGTGGTTTGATCCCGTTAAGGGTACGTAGGCAATCAATTTTTGTGATGCAGTCGCTTCGTCTTTTCTAAATCAAACTTTTGAAAAATAGGGGGGATATGTTAGATATTTTTAATCATTTTGCATGTGTTTAATTTTTTGTTTTGCGAATGATTTTTGAATAGGTGCATCTGTTCATTTTTAACAGTCACTTCCAATAGATGTACCCAAAGATTTCAAGGGATACAACTATTCAAATAGTTGCCTCAGTTTCTATAAATTTTGGGCGAATTCTCATTTGCAAACACATTAAACAATTTATTCTTCCTTCTTTCTCTTGGCATCAATCAGTTATTTTCGAGTGTCTTCTTGATTTGATCAAATAGTCACAATTTGAATCAAACACCTTCATTGTACCCTGAGAGAGATTTTCTATCATACCCCAATTGTGACTTTGTTGAATAAGGGAGAAACATCTCTTGAAAGATAACGTTTTTTCGTGCCTTGGAGTTCATTAACGTATTCAGATTTTCCTACATTTTTATCAACAAACTTCATGTAGCTGCCTGCGCATCAGGAAAATGCATGTAGCTGCATGATAGCTTGTAGGCAGCTGCGTAGCTGCCTGTAAGAGGCAGTACAGCTACCTGTTGGTATGAAAATATTTTTAGCCAAAAAAAAAAAAAAAGGAACACAGAATTTCACAAATTTATATAAAAAAATTCAAGTAAGCTTGGCTTGGCTCAGCTCAGCTCGGTAAAGCTTGAGCCAAGCCAGGTTTTTCGTCTGAGCTTCTCAGTTGTGGCCAAGAAAACTCGAGCCAGTTTTTTTACGGGCCATGCACGAGACACGAATCTTGGCTCGTGAGTTGGTTTTGCTCGACTCATTTACATGGCTAAGAAGGGATAGGAGGGGGCTTTAATGGAAGAAAAGAAAAATTGATTGCCATTAATTTTTATAGAGAAAGAAATTTATAGTTTAATCCCTATAAATTAATACTAAATCTATTAATTTTAGCAAATATAAAATAATTAATTAATTAATTAATTAAATGTATTCAATATTTTCTTATTTTCTTGTATATTATTTTTCGTTTTACTAAGTCCTAGTCTGTTTCTCATTATTTGAATACAAGAATGCATTTTTTGAACATTCTTCAGCACGAGTCCCATTGTAAGATAAAAAGTCAAAAAAAATCGATTGCTGCATTTGCAACTGTCCAAAAAACTATTAAAATGAGGCAAAAACAAAAAAAAAAAAAAAAAAAAAAAAAAAAAGGGAAACAAACACCTTCTCTAACATACATTTTTATCTATTTGTTTAACCAAGAAAAATTAATGAATCTACTTAATTTTTAAAAAAATAGATTGTACATTGTTCTACATTATTCCTTATTATAAACATTTAACCTAGCAGAGACAGATTTAATAAACTAAAACCATAGTAACACAAGGCATCGTACATACCAAATGAAATCCTATCTCAAAGGTAAAGATGATCCAGAACAATATACCATTGTCCGTCTTTTTAGACCTTTTTTGAGAATACTAGTTTTTGCCCATGCAATGCACTGGCCGAATATTTCTAAAGTTAATGTTGGTGTGTCAAATTATTTGAATTTTCATAAATGACATTCTCAATTCAATGTTTGCTATGGCTACACTAGGATGGACTTCCCTTATTGAGAATGTAGAGAAATTTATTAAGTTAAACGTTTCCAAAACAAAAGAAATCCTTTTACATGTGGATTAAGGATCAAATAAATTTATACAACAAACGAATTGTTTGTAGTAACAGTTGCATAATTCAATATAAGTGACCATGGGATTCTTGAAAGCAAAAGACAATTGTAAAAATAGTCAATGGACAATCTATGAAAGCATATACCATAAAACACAAGTTCACAAAATAAATTCACATGTCGAGATTACCCAAATGAGACATGTAAAGGGATAGGAACAAAAAAAGAAAAAATTCAAATTGTGTTTCAAAAAGTTATGGATTACTTGAAAATCATTAGTTTTTAGTATGAGTAATCAAAAAATGTAAATAAAAATCAACATATCATAAAATCCTAATAAATTTGTCAACCACTACTGTTCTATGGGCTTTTATTAGAACTAGGAGAAAGAACAATAGACATGTTTTCATGGTTTACATGAAGAGTAATCTAAGGCCCCGTTTGGGAGTGATTTTTTACACCCCAAAAAATTAATTTTTTGACCGTTATTTCACTATTCCAGCTGTAATTTTTAATTTCATTTCTCATAGGTGGCCCTAACTTTTCTCCTAACGGTCAAAAAATTAATTCTCAAAATCACTATCGAACAGACCCTAAATTACAAAACTTTTCAAGCTCTCGGTGTTAGAGTCACCATCAAGTGCTTGAAGAGATTCCATTTTAGTAGCATAATTATTATTCAATTGAACTGCAGTCTTTTCTTTCTTTTCCTCAAAAATCTATGAGACCAAAAAAATATCACCATAATAAAGCATATGCACAACAAAAAATAAAAAAACGGCACTAATAACAAAAAAAAAAAAAAAAAAAAAAATTCACTGCATAGCTCTGGTGGAACACCTAATGAGGTTCATTGTACAACATTTCTATCCAAATCCGCTTCATACACAATAAAATTGGAATATCTAAAAAAATAACAAGCCCAAAGATTTTACCATTTTCAAATGATAACCAAATTGACAATTTTCATATACATCAAAATATTTATTTAAAAGGATTTACTAAGCTTACAAGAATAAGAGCAAACTTTCTCTCTTAAAATTCTTTATCTAATGAAGTGTATGACTCTGCAGTAGATGGGATCAACAACTTCATTTTTCCAAATGTTTAGTTCACGTAAGCTTAACTTTAAACACTCTTCTAGAAAAATTCATATACTCTCGCTGAATATTTCAGTACCTGGTATCCTCATTTGTACTAAAATATCAGAACTTGCTTCTACCCTTGCATTCACGTTCATAATTCGAACAATAAAGATAATTAATTGAGATACATTTCTAAAAATCGTCTTAAGGTTGATAAATAACGTAAGTATATTTGATGTATGCAAATATTAAGGGAGAGACCAAAGAGATACCTTTTCCTGTGAATTCCATGGAAGCCTGTAAGCTAAGAGATATAGCGAAGTATACCAACATCAGATTCTTCGACGGAATACATGTTATTGGCACTGTTGCCTCCCTCGGTTGCAAGGTTTTAGTGCAATGGAGAATGAATATTAAACACATGTACTAATCATAAGTTTCAGATTACCAAGCATCATATATTACAAAACAAACATGGTAAGTTCAAATAAGGAGAAATAAGATGAGATATCTACAAAAAAATAAATTAAATGAAGAAATCAATTCAATAAAAAAAAAAAAATAGGTGCACCACTATATTCCAACAATTTAACCTGAAAATATTAAATTCAACAATGTGCAAACCAGATTAATTAACACAAAAACAAGAAGCATGCATGGGATATCATCTCGTTCCTACTTTTGATTAGATGAGATAAAAGAGTAGAGGCCTATGAAATATTTTCTATTAAAAAATAATGTAGAATCTGCCACCAGTTGACATAGCACAAATAATAAAATTAGCAAGCTGGAATTTTAAGGGGGGTTTATTCTTTATATTGATATTTATTATTACAATATCCAGTAAACAGGGAAGTTCCAACAACACTTACTGAGCTATAATATCATTCTCCAATGCATATAAATTTCAAAAAACATAATATTGGAAGTTCAATAAATATGGAAAATACATAAGGTCTCATTGGCTTTATATTTTACTAAATGGTTATACGAAATGACTAGAGCCACCCCCCCACCCCACCCCCCTCTCCTTCCAAAAAATAAAAATAAATAAATAAAAAGGTAAGTTAAATTAAATAGTGGTATTTCCCAAGAAAAAATGACGACTATACTTTTTCTTATCATGTTGTCAGGGTAGTCTTTTACTATGTATCAAATATGCAAGGAGAAAAATCAATAGGGTGTGAATTGTGGTTGAATGCATAGAGAAGGAGGTGGCCAGGGACCAAGAGTGAGTTCTATCATCAGTATGACTAGCTTGGTCATCAGAGTGAAATTGGTTATACTGCTGCCTTTGTAATGGTGGTAGTCGAAAAGCAATTGGCCCATAGATTTGATTACAAGTGGTGGCTGTAGTTTTTGTATCCATTGTAGCATCATATTCAGGTGACGGCCCCTAGACTCCTCCCACCACCAGGTACTGTGATGCTTGTCGACTGTGATAATAAATAAAATGACCTGGTCGTCACCCATGTAGCCTATATTTCTGCAATGAAAGCACAAAGATCTTAATTAGAGCGTAAATTTATTGTATAACACAATTCATTATCTCCAAAATAAGCGATATTCACTTGGCAAGAGCAACCCGTCAAGTAAAAAACTTCCATAGCTAATTCAAGCCATTTTCAATTTTAAAGAATTTTTACAAGGAAAATATTTTGATCGAACAAACCTGTAAATGACTTTTTACTTCAAAATTTGTTAGACCGTCAACCTTCATCAAATCCTTAATTGTTTAGGTGTAGCAACTGTATAATAAGATGAACCAGAACAATCAATGCAAAAATGAAGTCACATGTATCTTAGTCAAAGTTAATTTGATAATAAATTATACTGTGTGAACCACCAAGTTTTTGAAGGGCTAGCAAGAATTATCTATGTAGCATAGATGACCAACTCCTCCTAGGTTTTCTTTGAAATTGTCCTTCCTTCTCATCCTTATTATTTCCACCACCACCACCACCTATCTCTTCCACAGAACTGGTGGCAACCATCAGCACCGACATTCTGATTGGCCCTTGTGGAATAGTTACAGTACTCCACTAGAAAATACGTCTGGGTGCAAATACAATAAGTCCTCCACCATAATTCTTGCCGAATATCATTTGCATAAATGCAAAAAGGGATATTATAAGTTTAAAATAAATATTACGATGCCAAAATCTCTGTTACATTGAACGCACAAGTTCGTGGCAAAAAAATCAAAAGGAAAAAATAATTACCAGACCTTCTTTTGCACTAACATAGAGCAAAAATTTTTGACTTCTAGCAGCACAGCGTGCATTGTTGGAAAAACACGAAGCACCAAATCTAAACCTTCATGTTAAGTAAAAATGTACTATCAGGGGGTAAAAAGATCTACACCATAGAAAAACTCTACCTAATTTTTCTAAAACTAAATAATCTAAGTTTACTTTTATTTGTCTCGTTTTCAGCATCAAACATTTTGTCAAATGAGAACCAGACCTCCCCTCCTTTTCCTGTTCTACAGTTCTACACTGCAAAGATATCATCATACTCAAAATCAGTTTTTGCTTCTTTACATATACATTTGTTTAATCTACATTGCCAATGAGAAAATACCTGCATTTTCAGGGAATTTACACATTTTACTATTGATTCAAGCTTCACAGGATGTCTCTATTTGGACAAGATCTATCCTTGATTACTAATGGATCTTCCAAAGATTTGTTAGCTTTATTTATAGATTGCTTTCCATTTGCTGGCCTCTTTGTGCAATTCCTTGTGCCATTAAAAACACCATCTAATGATAATAACCTTCGACTAGAAGCACATGTAGTTAGAGATTGTGAGGGCATTACCAAGAATGAACCTGAATTAACTTAAATTTGGTATAAAGATCTTGAGCTCTTGTAGTAGTAATCAACGAATCATTGAATGAACCGATCGAATCCTCTGAATTTGTTCGGGACGCTATGTAAACATCTCCCTGAGAGAGACCTTGTCTAAAATACACAACCTGTTCCTCGAGTCAAACAACCTCATTTTCCAAAATAGCCAATTCAGCTAGAAGTTCTAGAGTCCACAACATTACACCCACACAATCACAGGTTCATAAGAATAAAGTATGGTGAACCTGTCATTAGTCTCCAATTTCCAATTTACTTAACAATAATTCCCAATTACGCCATTAGTCCTTTTGCCTATGCCAAACGAAAACTAATCAAATCCAATATAGTAGTAGTAAAGGCAGAGAGACATATCTAGATGAATGTGGAATTCAACTAATAGGAAATTCTCGGTACACAATACTCGATTACCTTCTTTAGTATACCAAACATGTCGATACTTAAGTATTTGAGGGAGATACGGAGGAAGACGAGGTAGTGTTCCTAAGGGTCTATAGAAAGCCCTCTCTGAAGCTCTATGAACATTTTCTTCATGCTTTAATTCAGCTTATCAACCTGCCAATTAGAGAAAAAGATAAAAGTTAAAAAAATGAAAGTTAAGCTTAATTTTGTAAAAATTGGAGAACTTGAGTACATCTTATTGTAAGGTCCATTTCGTTGATTTGTTGTAGCTTTCTCTATAGTTTATAATTTCCTTCTCTGCAATTTTATCTTCATTCCCTTCAAGGATTTAGATATCAATTCATAAGTACAATTGCCAAGAAAAAATATTAATTTCTTGAAAGATAAGAATAAATTGGGCAAATTCTTGATTAGTGAACAATAGTTCCAATTTAAAGGAGAAAAATTTGAGAAAAATAATTATATACTTACATTTTGAGGATGTTGTGGTCCTTTCTTAAAATTATGACATATAACCAATGGATGTCAAGGAAGATTATTGCTGATTAACATATGCATCAATTAACATTCATAACGTAAAAATATTTATAACTCATTCTAATCAAAATAATCATCCTCTGGTAAAGTAAAATTCAACAAATAAAAAAAAAAAATCAACAAATCAAACATGTATTCATCAACTGACAAGAATTTATGATCCCACTTATGCATTGCAATGAAGAAATCAGTATAAAAGTTTAGAAGTCTTAAAGATGAACTAACATGAACTACCTTAATTTCTCAAAATAACCTTAAAATCCGGTTCTTGTTCCCAAAGCCAGCCCTACCGGGAAGGACAATGCGGCCTTTTTTTTTTCTTAGAAGAACCTCTACCAGCCAGAGTTGGTCCTTCATCTCAGCTCTTTCTGCCTAGTATTGCAGGGCACATAAGGGCCTCTGAAATTTTAGAAATCACAGCTGCAATATTAGCCATCTTCTTCTTCCCAGGAGAGTCCACCTCTGTATGAGTTTGATCCCATCGGACAACTGTCGGCCAGGGACAACAACATTCACCTAGCCCCCACCGGACATGACTGTCACCTCCCGGTAGGTGATGGCTGTCGGTAGCAATAAACTAGCAAAAATTACTATAATTTTATGAAGAAATAAGACAAATAGAGGAACTCACGTGTGAAGAGGCCACCAAACGGTTCAACTATTAGCTTCTTCAAACAGATCTTGCAAGAAAGGTTACGACTATGTTTATAAAACTGAATAATCAATGGCTTTTGGGGTGCCCTGGGAGAGAAAGGGAAAGTGAAGACGGTTTCTCTCTTGTTGGCTGGCTTTTGGCTTCTCGATTGCAAAAAGTCTATGCAGATATCAAGGTTGATATTAAGCCCCCGTTTGAACTCCGTCATTTCTCATTACATTAAATTAAATTTTTTTCTCTCCTACTTTTAACCACACAATTTTCAATAAAATAATATTACATGTAAATCAAAAACTTTTCAACCATTCATTTTTCAAAAAAATACTATTCATCTCATTATAATTCACAAATAATGCGATTCAAACGGCCCCTAAGGTTGGACCCCAATCTTGCGGGTCCATCATCTCACCCATATATATGCAAATATTTATTCGAAGTATCAAACCTGTTTATGAATAGTTAACATCGGGTTTGAGCGTGCAAAGTAAGGCGACAAAATGAACAGTAATCTGAGTTGGCTCTTTGAAGAGAAGGTAGATATTTTATAAAAAGTGAAAAAAAAAAAAAAAAAAAAAAAAAAAAATTGGAATGTGTAATTAAAATGTATGAAAAATCTTAAATTTGCATCAAAAAATATATGATTAAAAATGAATTTTAAAGAATGATACTCAAACAAATATTATATTTCAGATAAAGTGTGAGTATTTGAGGAGATATAACTGTAAAATTATTCTACTTGTACATTCTTTGTGTATATCATAGTTGACACTGTGTGAGGTGTAAAAGTTGAGGTCATTGCTTGTTTTAAATGTTATTAAAATTAATGACAAAATTGTGTACCACATCACGCAATGTTAAAAAAAAATTGTTCACAACGAATATACGCCAAGCAAAATAGTAAACTTTATTAGGGTATGTACTATTGAATGTGTATTGTAAGCACCTGTTTGGCCCCTATTTTTTGGAAATGAAAATGGGTGGAACAATATTTTTTTGAAAAATGAGTGGTTGAAAAAGAAGAATTTTTTTTCAATTTACGTGTAATATTGTTTTATAGAAGATTATGTGATTAAAAATAGGAGAAAAAAATGGAATATAATGCAATGAAAATTAATTGGTGCCAAACGGGAGTTTAGAGTATATGTATACATTAAAGAGTGTTCAAATGATTTTTTAAATAATAATTCAAAATTATAATTTTGGAAAGTTCGTAAGGATAATTTCATCAAAATTTTTGATATAATCTCATTTATGTAAGGATAATTATATTCGCACAACAATTTTATTTCTTACACCACATTTTAGTTAGGGTAATTAGTACAAAACGTCGTTACCTTTCATGGTTTTTGTGGAAAACATCTATAACTTTCATTTTTGGCAATTTCACCCCACCTTTAACTTTTATTGCGGAAAACATCAATCCGTCCACTCACCGTTAAAATGCTCCCTTAAATTAAATAAAGTGGAATTTTTATTTTCAAAAGGCAAGAATAACATTGTCCAAACTAATTTCTTCATTGTGGTCTTCCCGCCTTCCTCTTTAAATGTTAAAAACTAAAAGTAATATGAAAATAAAATAATTTGTAAAAATTATTTCATTCAATAAATAAGAAAATGACGTAAAGAACAGTGTATTTCTGATTGAAAAGAATTATGGTTGCTTTAATGCTTGATTGCTTTGGAATGGTATATGAAGATAATGAATATGTGGGTGATAAACTTGAGATGCTCATCCCCGTTTCGTGCTTATAAAGGGTGTAAATAAAGGATAAAGTGAGAAGACCAATTAAAATGTGATTCAGTGAATGGACAATACATATGAATGGGGAAGATGATGAAGACGAATGGGTCTTCTTTCCATTTTAGCATGAAATTGAACTTGTGGTTGTTGTAAAATTAATCAACACCGGGGTTGGAGAAGAAACCAAAAAATAGTAATTCGAGAAGATGAAAGATGAACAAGAAGATCAAACTAATATGAAGGCTCAAACACGAAAATAATCTCGCTGTCCTCGAATGATATTTGCCCCCTCTCCGGATTATACGAGATGCTTCAAGGGTTTTACGGCAAATGGTTCATAGGATTGATCAAACCTTATTGTAGAAAAAACACTAAAGCATAAATGATTTTCTACCCAAACTTGAAGAACACAAGAGGGAATTGCTTGAATATGGAAATAAAAAGAATGTTTTCTTGTGGAATGTAAAATCAGTTTCTCATATAATTTTTCAATAATATGTATTGATCCTTCAATACCTATTTATAGATGTCAATCAATACCTCACAAATTGGTGTCAAAAGTCATGAAGAGATGCAAGATTCCCTCTAAAAGTCACCAAAAAACTAATTGAAAAATGACCTCCAACGGACACTTTAAATGTACCCTGCGGTCGCATGGAGTATTTCAACAGGCCTCTTTAATTTTCTATTAATGGCCATGCGACCACATGGCCATATGACGTGCAATCGCATGGCCCAAAATTTGGGCCTCCGTTTCAGTTTCATGTTTCAATTTTGTTTCTTTCCATTCCACACACATATTTATAGATTTTGAACAATATATTTTGAACAATCCCCCACTTGTTCAAAATTTCAATAAACTCTCATTTTCAAAGTATACAATACTCATGCATAAGGATTAGATATCTTTCGATTTGAATCTAACCATAGTGTAATTCAAACAAAGTATAGTCGGAATCAAAGGTAGCGTGAAGCTTTGAATCAATTGTTCCAAGTGACAATACTGGTTCGAACACACACACGAGTATCACATGTTCTCAAGTTCCTCATGACTCGCTTAGCGCTGTTATGGCCTTGTGTTCATCCTATTCAACAAACTTTTAACAGAGAAACTTCAACTTTCTATTAAGACGACACCACCTTGAAGATTGTTTAGGTGAAGTTCTTCCATATCCTTTACCTTTTAAATCATAGAAATACATCTATGATGGAGAAAGGTAGAGAAGGCCTTGTATTTTTAAGGATGAAACGCACTAAATCTAAAGTAGATTAAATGAATAAATGTCGATTGTGACGCTTGCAAAACCAATGGAATATTTAAAGAATATTCATTGAAGATCATTGTAATGATTCAATGATGATAAGTGAATACCCAAGTATAAAAATATCCACAAATAAAAGTGCTTGACTAGTGTAATAACTTGATGGAAATCATCCAACGATGTTTTGAAAATCAATAAGGCTTTAAAGCAAGTGAGAAGCATGTGGCTTCTTGGTGGTGACGAATTGTATCTATCAAATGAATCGATCGTTGGCTAGCTATCTTTGATAAGATACTGAGTCACATATAATAAAAGTTTAGACATATGAGTCTTAGACATGACTTCCAAAAGGAAATTATCAAAGATGAAATAATTTTCATAGAGAATTTAGCGGATCGTTAAACTAGACCACTAAATAAATATTTAGTGGCGACTATTTCGAGTAGGATGGGATTGAAACTCTTAAACTAAAAAGGTCCACCAATGACGGCAACCCTACCTATCATTATTCAAAAGGTAATCCACGAGTTCAAAGGGTAATAACGAGTCATTCGATATGTAGATAAATTGCAACATTATTAAAATCCGCAATAACCTATCATAATTAAAATAGTGCTGGTTGTTGGTGAAGTGAGGGTTGAGCATTAAAGCTCTTAATGAAGTTCAATACTAAAATACAAGTACCTCTAAAAGTAATAAAGTTACTGGAAGAACTTCACTTAAACAATCTTCAAGGTGGTGCCGTCTTAATAGAGAGTTGGAGTTTCTCTCTTAAAAGTTTGTTGAATAGGATGAGCGCAAGGTCATAACAGCGATAAGGGAGTTATGAGGAATTTGAGAACATGTGATACTCATGTGTGTGTTCGAACCGGTATTGTCACTTGGAACAATTGGTTCAAAGCTTCACGCTACCTTTGATTTCGACTATACTTTGTTTGAATTACACTATGGTTAGATTCAAATTGAAAGATATCTAATTCTTATGCATGAGTATTGTATACTTTGAATATGAGAGTTTATTGAAATTTTGAACAAGTGGGGAATTGTTGGAAATATATTGTTCAAAATCTATAAATACGTGTGTGGAATGGAAAGAAACAAAATTGGAACATGAAACTAAAATGAAGGCCCAAATTTTGGGCCATGCGGTCGGATGGCCATTAACAAAAAATTAAAGGGGCCTATTGAAATACTCCATACGACCGCATGCAGTTGTACCATGCGGTTGCATGGTACATTTAAAATGACCGTTGGAGTGGTAACAATCCCTATCAATTGGAGTTGCGTAAAATATCCCTACCTTTGTTAAAGATTGTGTAAATTGTCCCTACGCATTTTGAGCTAAATTGATCTTCTTTCTTCTTGTCCATTCACAAATCTAATCATTCTCATTAATGGCCACACATCCATTTAAAGATTTGATCATTCTCATTAATGACCACAAATTGATCTCTTTTCTTCTTGTCGCCTGATGTAAAGTCTGAACTTTTAGAGTTCTTTATAGTTTTCTTAGGCTTTGGTAAGTAAAAAAATTATCATAACCCTCTTTTTATTTGGATTATAATATTCTGAATCGTTCAAAAAATGTATATCCCCTCTTATATTACTAGTAGTAGATTTGCTTCTCTTGAAAACAGAAGACAATCTTGAAGATTCACGGTGGTAGGCTTGAAGGGTGACGGTGGTGCCACCTCCTTGCTTAGATTTGAATGAGGGAGAAAAAAGGAAAATGGGTACAAGAAATGAAGAGACTAAATTCCCAAGTTTTTCTTGGAGGCAAAAAGCACAAATTCCACCTGGCTGCTGCTGCTGCTCATGTATGGATGATTCATTACAATGTTACCCTTGTCTTTTGAAAAGAAATATCCAATTTTATTTATTTTAATGGAGCATTTTAACAGTGAGGGGGCGGAAGGACGTTTTTCATAATAAAAGGTAAATGTGAGGGTGAAATTGTCAAAAAATGAAAGATAGGGATGTTTTCCACAAAAAATTTGAAAGGTAGGGATGTTTTGTGCTAATTACTCTTTAAGTTACACTTAAAGTTCTTAATCTTAACTCATTACAGTACTTGTGTCCTTAATGACTTTTCATATTATTTTCATCCTCAAACTTTTCATTTACACATTTTATATTTA